AGCATGGCTCACCCAGGACCCCAGAAAGCCCAGGGAGCCACTGTCAGTGTGGAGAGGGATGTAGGAGGCATACAGATGTCCCTTGGGGTGACATACAGACCTTTACCCCAAGAGCAGAAGAAGCCACTGGGGTGTTAAGTGACATGCACAAATCAGACGTACATATGAAGGAACCAGCACTGGGGCAGATGGAGGATGAACTGAAGGGGACAAGGGGGAGGGAGGGATGCAGCCAGAGGCCACTGCAGTGACTCAGTCTCACAATGGTGGTGGTCAACATGCAGAGGGCAGGAGAGATGCTGCTAGGCAGGTGGTTCTGGCTTACAAGCTGGGTCCTGTCTTCCAATGGAGTCTGAATGGATGAGGGAAAAGGACAGACATCCCTGAGCTGTCTAGGGTCCCCGAGGATTCATGGGACAGGGTGAGTGTCACTGGCTCCTCATTGGACCAGGAGGCGTCCTGGGTACAGCCAAGCGAAGGTCCCACTGATGGCAGTGAACACACAAGTGGGACCCAGATGTCATACTTGGCCCCAGTCACTGAGTCAGCTATGTGTGAGGGTATCTGGGGTGGGTGGGTGTTCGGGGCCCAGGGCAAAAGTGAGACCACAGGGATACATATGTGTGTGTGAGGACACAGGTCCTTACAGAGCTCTGTGCAGAGAGGGGCCTCTAGGCTAAGCACCCTTCGGCCATACTCACTCTGGGCCTGCCCCGCGGCCGCAGCCTTCTTGGCCCCTGCATGCTGAATAAGCAGGTTGTCCTTGTCGTAGGCTCCGCCATCCTGACCCACCTCTACCACCTGCACCTGGGGTAGCGCTGTGTTCCACTTCACCACATACTTGGGCCCCAGGGGCACCAGGCTACTGATCTCCAGTTGGCCCCTATGAGACAGAGGAAGAGTGCTGGAGAGACCTGTAGGCCAGCCCTGAAGCAGCACAGCACAGCTCAGCTCTCTGGTACCTCAGCTCAGCCAGACTCCACGCAGCCCAGACACAAGACCTCAGGCCCAAACCAAGACGGGCAGAGCAGGGAACCGACACCAGGGCATTGCACCAGGAAGCCCAGGCCCAGAACCAGAGACACATGCCCCTGAGTCCCCAAGCCACAAGCCACCTACCTGTGGTTGGCAGGCCTAGAGAAAAGACAAGACAGGAAAGGGTTACTATGATGGCACGTCCCTGTGGGACTGAGACCTCTAAGGGCTGGACACTGGGCTGGGCAGCAGGAGTAGAGGGAAACGCAGCTCCAGGGAGAAGCATGGCTACCAAGGCCAGGTGTGGACAGAGGGTAACCTCACAGAAGGCCTCCCTGGGGCTGGGCCTGACATCCCCTTGGAGTCTCACAACAGACCTGCCCAGAGGCTTCCAGATTCTAGACAAGGACTGGTGCTGGCCGGGCAAGGCTAAGTGACAGTTCACATTAGCAAACTGGTGTCCCCAGACTGGAGCACTAGCACCCCATTCTTCACACAGACTCAACCCTGAACAGCATAAGGGCAGGAAGGGCAGTGGTCATGGCCCTGGCCCTCCTGGACATGGTGGGACTGATTCAGTGGGTAAAGGAGCTTGCTGCCAAGCCTGATGAACTGAGTTCGATCCCTAGGACCGACATGGTGAAAGTAGAGAACTGAGTCCTACAAGTTGTCTCTGACCTCCACAAGTGCACAATGGCCCACAATCACACACACACACACACACACACACACACACACACACACACACACGCACGCGCGCACACACACACACACACACACACACACACACACACACAGAGGCAGGGCACTAGTGGCCAGAGAGAAAGCTGAGTCACTGGTAGAAGAAGCTCTTAAACTTCTATGTGTCAGTTTAAT